GGACGCTAATATGATAGATACAGGCCATCAAGTGTGATATACATTACAGAAGAAGCTGTACAGGCTAACAGAAGAACTAAGCAGGACGCTAATATGATAGATACAGGCCATCAAGTGTGATATACATTACAGAAGAAGCTGTACAGGCTAACAGAAGAACTAAGCAGGACGCTAATATGATAGATACAGGCCATAAAGTGTGATATACATTACAAGAGAAGCTGTGCAGGCCAACAGAGGAACTAAGCAGGACGCTAATATGATAGATACAGGCCATAAAGTGTGATATACATTACAAGAGAAGCTGTGCAGGCCAACAGAGGAACTAAGCAGGACGCTAATATGATAGATACAGGCCATCAAGTGTGATATACATTACGGAGAAGCTGTGCAGGCCAACAGAGGAATTAAGCAGGATGGCCCAGCATAATATTACGACCTCAGTGCTATCTTGCCGTATCTCCATTTTTTTTTTAAAGCAGTAAAAATGTGACATCTTCTAAAGCTCACTCTTTGTTATGAACTGTTTTCACTGTTGTTAAAAATGGAGATGCGACAAGAAAGCACTGGGGTTTTCACTGTTATTAAAAATGGAGATACGACAAGAAAGCACTGGGGTTTTCACTGTTATTAAAAATGGAGATACGACAAGAAAGCACCGGGGTCGCGATATGAAAGATACCGTACCAGTCTTAAAATATGATGTGATCGAAGAACAAATGTTGACAAAATCACACAAGCATGTATATATTATAGAGAAAAAGAAAACAAAAGTAATCTCTCTTCCTTACATCCACGAGGCTGACTTCGTGCTTGATGCTCTCTGGCTGGCTCTTGACGCTGAACAGGTCCTCGTTGTCGGCCAGCGGGGTGGTGTAGGCCGGGGCCTGGCCAAGGTCGCCGCGGGAGATGAGCATGTGCATGTAGGCGTCGTGGGAGAACACATCGTGCACGATGAGCTCGTTGAACAGCAGGATGAGGTTCTTGAAGGCCTGCTGGGCTTCCTCGCTCGCGTGTTCCTCTGGGGGTTGGAGGGGGAGAGATACAGAGGGAGATATAGAGAGGGAGAAGGAGAGATAGATGAAGACAGGGAGATAGGGAGGGAGAAGGGGGAGATAGAGATAGAGAAAGAGAGAGAGAGAGAGAGAGAGAGAGAGAAAGGGGGGGGCAAAGAGAAAGGATGGAGAGGGAGAGAAAGAG